CTTTTTCTCAAGATTCTTCTGATGAAACTCTTCAGATTTCTCTATCACTGTCTTCTTATTAGTGAGATAGTATCATCACATCTGAGTGACTCAGTTAATGAGAGAATTGTTTTCTCTCAATTATAAGAGATCTAGAATAATATTCTTATCTATGATATTGACTGTGTGAAGAAGCAGACTGCTCTTCTTAAAGATTTCTTCTGAGTCTGTGATTATACACTTCACTTGAATTATGTCAAAACAGTGACATTTCATTTCATTAGTAAATTTCACATGATCTGACAGATCTATCTTCTTTCAATTCTTTATTAAAGAAAAGAAATAGAATATGAAGTTAGTATTTACTCTGAAGTTAAGTAGGCATCTCACTGATATCTTCTCATTCAGAGTATGCATTGTGATTATAATATGAACTCAGAGACATGAGAATTATTAATTCTTTATTTCTTTCTCTTTATTATCTTTCATGAATATGTTTATCAGAAGAGAAGTTAACTTTGAGAAGATATCTTCTCAGTTTCTTCTCTTCTTCAGCTTCTTACAATCACTGATATAATATCTATCAGCTTCACAGTTAAAACAGAGATCTTTATCAAATCTTTTTTAACATTTCTTCACAGTGAGTGAAGAATCAGAATACTTGAAATTCTTCTTTACTTTCTCTGCACTGAAGCTGTCACAGCACTGTTTAGATTCTATTATTAATTACTTAGAAGAGATCTTATTAATCTTTTTCTCAGAGAATTGATTATTTAAATAGATCTGAGAAGTCAGATTAACAAGCTCAGTGTAATTAATTGATGAACTCTGATATTTTAATATTATTATTCACATCTTATGAGTCAGCTTTATAAGATAAAGCTGTGTTTTTAATTGATTTAAATTATCAGTTAATTTCTCTTAATATTCTTCAAATCTTACATTGAAATTAGAAGAATTCTCATTATCTTGTTAATATAATAAGTTGAACTGCTGTACTGCTGTGAAGCTGTGATTACAGTAATCTTTAATTTAATTCAGTAGAAAGTTCTTGAATTCTTCTCAAGTCATGATAGTATTGATATACTCAAGCTCTCTCTTCTTGATGACTCAAGTAGTTGCAGAGATGTCTTTAAGAAGGTTGACAGCATATATTACTTATATCTCATGAGTATTATACTGGCTCAGATTAAGGCAGAATTTTCATTCAAAAATACAGATAAAGCTGTGAAATTCAGATAAGATATTTCTCTTATATCTCAGTGAATCTCTGATCTTAATCTCTCTATCTTTATAATAGATGTAGATGTGTAGAGGCCACAGTGATGACAGAACAGTTGAAGAGCTCATATTAAAATATACAGCAGATTCAGAAATCTCAGATTTCTGCTGAGATAGAGATGTATACACTCTAGGAAATGATGTAGTGTTTCTCTCAGAGAGTGAAGTCAGATTAATCTCAGCACAGATGCATGAAGTCATATCAGTCTGTTAGAGCTTGACTGATTTAAATATATAATCAGATTGAGTGATTTGAATTGTAATATGATGAAATCAAAGCAGTGACTAGTCAGTAGTATTATATAAGAGTAGTTGTTTGAGAAGCTGTATAGATGAGCTTAACTATTTTACTTGAATAGTGAGCTCATAGACTACAGAGTTATTACAAGAATATCACAGATATGATACTTAGTATACTAAGAAGATTATATGAGATACACAGTAACTCTTGTATATATTTCAGTAGAAGAAAAACAAATCACTGACTTCTTTGATAAGAAGTCAGTATCTAGCTATTCTATATAGATAATGAGCAGATACTCTTCTCTTATTTCATAAGTGAGAATAGCTGAAGTAATACCTCAGCAGTGTCTCATTGTCAAGAAAGAGTAATCTGCTGACCTTGTATAGAAGCAGGGTTCTCATATTCATCAATTGAATCTTTCTATGATATATCTGAATGATGTTATAGAGTGGTTGGAAACCGGTTCAGACAGGATGAAATTATCTGCATGGAAGTAATGGGCCGTGTGGAACCGCAACGGGGCCTTGGCGCGGCCGGGAGCGTGACAGAATGATATATTATCTTACACTGATAAGAAGCTTGCAATGATGATTACAGATAATGTCATCTGAATGAGGTGAATATTTCTATTAAAATGTAAGAATGAGATGTTGAGATATCTACAGATCTTCAATTAATTTATCAAGAATCTACTGAGATGTAGTATTGTGATCATTCACTCAGACTGTGAAGAATTGAATTCAAATACAGTCATAACATATATACTCAGTGAAGAAATAAAATGAGAGCTGACTCTCTCTTATACTTCATAGTAAGATGAAGTATTCAAATAATTAATCAGTTTAATCATTGAGAAGTTCTGATCACTATTAATAGACTCTTCAGCTCTGGAAAAAATGTGAGATGAGACAGTTATTACAGTTACAGAGCTGCTTAATCTTATATCAATCTCAATGATATTGTATAAGAGCTCTGAAAATACAAAGCTGATTACACTGTATAAGGTCTGACTTGAAGCTCTATCTTCTACACGCGGCATTCACTGATGAGGTTGCAAAGCATTCTTGAAGATAGTTCTCAAGCTTATCAATAAGATGGCTTCCTGTTTCAAAGAGTTGATTTTTGTGAGATATGATGATTTTATTAATTATAGATTGATAAATCTCTTTAACAGGTGTTTATACATATCAAAAGATGTCATCTTTCAGAAGAATCTTCATCTTGTCAATTCATTGATACTGACTACTTCACACAACCTGAAGGTTCTACTCAATGCAGCTTATAAAGCAGCTGCAGTGATTTCTTTAGTGACATCAGATCTATCTGCTGCAACAATTTCTGCAATGATTTCTACAATAATTTCTTTGATAATTTCTGATTCATCAATAGATGATCTGTTTATTGATGAGGAAATTCAACCTGAGTGTTCATTATTTCTTATACTCACTAATAATTGATGAATTGACTATGATATCTTCATGAGAATACCTATCTTTTTAGTGCAGAATACACTGAATTCTCTGAAACTCACAGTTGAATCTGATAATTCTTCAACATCTATAAGAGATATCACTATAGTGAGAAAATCTACAGTGAGGAAATCTTCAGTGAGAGACACTTTTAAAGATCTACTCACTGATTCTGAGATTGCTGCACTTCTGATTCTGAAAAACCTCACACATATCAAAGCTTTCATGAAATGAAAGTATTATTATAAGATCTGTGTTAAAGAGATTAACTGTTTAAAACAGATAGAGATCTGATAACTGATTGAGAGAATATCACAAATGAGTGTTCTTTACAGTCAATGAGTATTTGATAAAAAGTTCAATAATATGAGTGAGATTATCTGCTATAAGATCTGCTGAGTTGTCTGTGAAAATCTTCAACAGAAGAGAGTTAATTACTCAAGAATCTTTGCATTCATTATCTCTGCATTCATCTCACAAGCTCTCATAATAATCTTGACATTCTGAGAATGATATATTCTGCAGATTGATATAATGACTGCTTTTTTAAATACTCAACTGTCTGCTGATGAATGAATATATATGAATCAACTCACAGAATTCTGTGAAGACTGTAATAATCTTATATATAAGTTAATACAGAGACTCTATGATCTTAAGTAAGCAGTACTCTTATAATATGAGAAGCTGTGAAAGATACTATTATACTCAGACTTCTATGTCAGTCTCTATGATACTGAACTATTTATTTATAATGAAAGATAAATCTATATAATTATCTATATAAATGATATTCATCTCTACAGTCTGAAAATCAAAGATCTGAACTGAGTCAAAGCTGAAATCACTGCTAATTATAAGATCAAGAATGTAGAAAATTTCAACTGCTATCTAGAAATGAAGATTGATAGAGATTTAACTTTATTAATATTATCTTAATCTCTCTTTATAAGAAATCTTCTGAAGAAGTTCTTAATAAATAACTATTATTCTACATTCACTTCTATAAAGAAGAATGTTAATTTTATAAATGATAATAAGAAACTGATTACATACATAGCAGAATTTATTCTATAATTCTATCAATTCAGTATTAAATCTCTGCAATATCTGACATTTAATACATGTTCTGATATGAGCTTTACTGCAGGATTTCTTGAATGATTTAGCTCTCAGTCTACATCAAAGAACTGAGCTGTATACAAGTGTACACTCTGATATCTACAGAGTTCAATCAATGAGAGTATAATCTATCACAGAGATGCTGAAATTGAATCTGTAGCATACACAGATACTGATTGAGCTGATAGAGATTTAGAATTTCATTCAATCACTGATTATATTATCTATATAGCAGATGACTCTGTTGCATGACAGAGCTGCTAGTAAACAGAAGTCTTCAAGTTATCAACAGAGACTGAATATATTGCATTCTTTAAGACTGTATATAAGCTTATCTGTTTCTGAGAGCTTCTAGAAGATGCTGAATTCATCTCATCTCATCTCAATAATCTGAATGTTAATGATTATCTCATTCTCATTACAGTCAATGATCTGACTTATACAATTCATACTGATAATAAGTTTATCATAGAGCTATTCTCTTCTGAAGCAATTTCACACTGCTTGAAGTATATAGAGGTTTATTTTCACATTCTTCAGAATCTCATCTGCAAGAATGAGATATCTATTCAATATGTTTCATCTGCTGAGAACGCGGTGAATGAGCTTACTAAATCACTTAAAACATTGAAATATATGTGTTAAAAAGAGAATATAAAGAAGATAGAGAGATAGAGGGATAAAAAATAATATATCTCATGACTGATTTTTCATTACTACACATTTTCCAGTCATTTTTTGTACCTGTACTTGATTTGAAGGCGAATTTTGTATATAGCATTGTGTATAGTTACTCTGGTGAGTGGGGGTGTCAGGTCACATGATCTGGCTTACTAATCCTTCCACCATATAACTTTCCACAAAGCTAGCAACCTTTCAATCACACAAGCTTTACACCTTCCACAGTGAGTTCTCGAACGCCGTTTTTGCCAAGGCGGTGAGGCGGGGATGCATGATGGACATTAGTAATCAGCCACTTGCGAATCCGAGTACTGCGACCGATTTGATATATGTCATCAACTAACTGATCGTCTTTGAGATGTCTCTGCTCTCTTTGAATTTATATATATATCCTTCTTTGTTCCGCGTTTGTTTTGCACTGGAAATGCAGATAGACAGATAGCGTCATTTTATTAATTTATTGTTACAAGACTCTTGGATTTCTTCCAAATGGACAACTCCGTCTATGCCAACTACCCCCCGCCATTGAGTCCTGAGCAGCAAGAATATCTTGTCTCCACGGTAAAAACATGGGCTCTACATCATGGACTATGTGTCAAACCGTCACCGTCATTTATCGAGACGCAATTGGATCCCCAAGGCGTCTTAGCAACTAATGCGCCCGTCACTCTTTTTCCCAGCCTTTTCCCCAAATCCTGCTTTGACCGTGCCACTTCAATTCAGAGAGCATACAACGAGTTATATGCTAGGATCAGCAGCGATGAAGCGTGGTTGGGGAAGGTTATTGAAGAGTAAGATGGTTTTTCGTTTTTATTCTTTATATTTGTTCTTTTATTATTTTATTTTCATCATTTATTTATTTATTTATTATTTATTATTTATTATTTTTATTTTTTTGGTTTCTGTAGCGTCTTTCTTTGAAAACCAAACGGAATGGGAAATTTGCGCCCGCCTGCTGTCCGTTTGCAGTTTTATATTACTTATCCATTTCCACGCTCCGATTAGTTACTGACGATGTGGTAGGCTCATTGACGTGGATGACTTCGTCGCAAATCTTTGGAAGGTTCATCTCAGTGTAAAAAAGGATGGATATGTTCAGCCACTGTCACTAGGCCTTTTCCGATCCGACTATATCGCCCATCGGCCTCCTGGCTCAGTAGAACCATCCCTCAAACAGGTGGAATTTAACACCATATCCTCATCGTTTGGAGGTCTTTCAGCCCTTGTCACTGCATTGCACGCAGATCTCTTGTCCTCACCTCCTGGAAATCCCATTACATACCCGACACATCCAATTCTGAAAGATCGTAGGCCCCCAGAAAATACTGCCACCACCTCCCTAGCCAGCGGTCTAGCATCAGCCCACAATGCATATGGCCCGTCAAAGTCAGAATCCTCACTACCATTGTGCATTTTATTCATTGTTCAAGCCGGGGAACGAAACTTATTCGACCAGCTGGAATTATCCACCCGGCTTACTGATTTCCACAAAATCCCTGTCTTCCGACTCATAACGACAGATATCCTGAAATTGACCTCGATTCCTTCCTCCAACTCTGCAAGGCCATTAATATATGCCCCTCTCCACGCCCCTGCCACCAAGTTTGAGGTAACCACAATTTACCTACGCGGTTTCTATGGACCGGCGGACTACCCAGACGAATCCGCATGGGCTGCTCGAACGCACTTAGAGCGTTCTGCCGCGATAAAATGCCCTTCCGTCCTCAGTCAGCTATCTGGCTGCAAGAAGGTGCAACAAGTACTTGCAGACCCCAATGCTGAGACAGATCACCTCACCCGTTTCCTCCCAAACACCCCCAGCCAAACAATCGAGAAAATACGCGCAACGTTCGCCCCGCAATACGACCTCTCAACATCTGGACGTGGCCGTGAACTTGCCCTCAATCCTTCCACGGCAGTCAACCATGTCTTGAAACCACAGCGTGAGGGCGGTGGGAACAATATCTACCGTGATGCGATCCCAGGATTCCTACGCTCTATGCCGGAGAAGGATTGGAAGGGATGGATTCTGATGGAACTGATCCAGCCACCTGATGCGGCTAAAAATATAATGCTGCGCAGTGATGGAGAGGTGTTGAGTGGGCAAGTTATTAGTGAATTAGGAGTGTTTGGTACTGCACTTTGGAAGGATGATGGTGAGCTAGTACATAATGAGCAAGGAGGTTGGCTGCTGAGGACTAAGGGGAAGGAAAGTGATGAGGGCGGTGTGGCGGCGGGGTTCTCGTCGTTGGATAGTCCCCTGCTTCTTTAAACTCCGGGACGCAGAAATGGGCTTGATGTGGAGGTTTGTTATAATAACGTGCGAATGGCTTACAATGTCTTGATGTGTGACTTTATGAATTACTCGCCCCAACTTTTTTGCTTACATCGTTAAATTACCTCTGAGAAATAGACGTTAGAGAAAATCAATTGTGTTTAAAATTTCAATGTGTTATCCAGAAGTAAATTTCGTAACAACGGAAAAACCGAACCAGACTCTAGTAAACATGCATAAAGAATCGTAAAGCGGCATCATGAGGGTGGGAAACAAAATCACTGGAATAAGCAATCACGCCAAATTATGGTCCGTCCGTGTCAGTTGGAAGAAGTTCACGGTAAAGCAGTTAGAAAACACATTAACTAAAACCAGAATGAGAAAACTGACAGAGCAGAATATGAGTAGGAAGAATCGGGCAATTCAAAATCAAAATAGGGATATCAACACGCTGTATGCAGCTTATTCGTAACCACGATAACTAAATAGAATTTTCTACCCTCTCGTTTTGAAAACTCCGGCTTGGACATGTATCCTGTCGCTAGGTCGGATGGTCGTAAGCTGCCAGGAATACCCCTGGGCCAATGGTTCACGTGGACGGCGATAGAAATTTTGAACCTGGGCGTGAAAGGAATTTGCAAAATCTTTACATGTAGCAAAGAAGAAAGTTTGGTAGACATGGCTTTGGGTATCTTCGGTAAAGTGAAAGAAAAAGAGTTCATATAATCGCGCTTTGAAAAAGCCATTCGGAAGTTGAGATTTTTGGAACTTGGAGAGGAAATTTAAACCTAGTAGCTTAGCGGTCAGGTTCTACTTAATTTCCAACCACATGAGGTGGTTGTAACAACCTTTAGAAAAGCAGGGAGCCAATTGGTTTCTATTGCCCCATTTCGTCCTCCATGAAGTCTTCGAAGGAACTAACGGGCGCGAGCCGTTCTTGAAGACGTCTAAACGGATCATTGCGCTGCATGATAGCGTCCGTATCAATGTTCAGGCGATGAGCTGGGTTCTGGCGAATTGAATGTGGGCCCGAGCCGTTGAACCGGTGAAACTCCTCTTCGTCCTGTTCTTGGTTGACTGGCGTGGACACATCCATATCATCAGAACAGGGGGCCATCCAACCAGGCGAGCGCTGTGGGTCGCTTTGTGCCATTGATGGACCTGGTTGGCGATGGCCACTCGGTGAGGTCGTCTGAGGGCTAGAGACAATGGGCTGCATCTCCTGCTGCTGCTGCGGGCCAAAGGGGTTGTAATTATGGGGAATGGAGGCAGGTAAGTGATGGCCGATGTACGGATCGTACCCTTCCTGATCGACACCCGGGTTCGCAGTGACAGATGGGTTCGGTTGATAACCGAAATCGTTGTCTGAGCCAAATGTCTCTCTAAACCCTAGCAGGCCGTGGCGCATACCCCCAAACCCATATCCAAATTCATTTGGAAACCCCACAGCGGCTGGGATTTGCGGATCTCCCACCCCTTCCCAGGTATGATATCCAGCGGTGCCGCTCGATATATTTGTCTGACCAGTTCCAGTAAACTGGTCATTGAGAGTGGCGGCTCCGGGGAGAGCAGGGCCCTGGGACGGGTTGAGAAGCCTGGTAATCCCAACCTGTTGGTCATTATCGTTGGGACCAACTGGACTGGGATTGGCTTGTCCGCCCGTTCCTTGGACCTGGTGTGGTGCTGCTTCTCGAGATGCGTCGTCCGGGGCGGTCGCGTCTGCTCGTCGATTATTCCCCCTTCTTCGGTCCCAGGAAGGAGGAAGCTGGTCGAGCGGGAGTTCTCGCCAGTTGTTGACGTTGGAGTTTGCAACCGCCTCCAACAGCTGCTCGTGCAAAGCTAACGCCTCCGCCAGCCTGGTACTTGGGACATGAAATAGGTTGTTCACCAGAAACATGTCCAAAGGGTAACAAGCTGGCGGAGTACCAGCAAGGTTCCTTGCTCGAAGACGTTCTGGCACAGCTGCCCGCTCATCGGCTAACTTGTCAGAGTATTCCACGTCCATTGTGGTATTTAGCCGCACCTGTTGGAGAATATACTAGTTAACAGCGATACAGGCATATCAGAATAGCACAAAAGCCTAAGCACACACTGACCTGCTCTCGATTCAACTTTTCCACCCGCTCTATCTCGGCCCTTGTCACAGCCCCGCGCCGGATTGTCCAACATGACAACCCAAGAGGCGCGCGAGCCTCCCGTTCTCGCCGCATGTTGAGGGAGTTGTCACTGGGGAGGTCGGCCTTCTCAACTGTCATTCGGGCCTTGATATCCCGATATGTCAGTCGTGAATCCAACCTCATCCAGTACTCCAGCTGCCAGGCCAGGGGCCGCTTCGATATGTAGCGTGGCAGGAATGGGAAGTCACGGATCACAGCCCCGTCGTGGTCTTTAACTTCCTGGCCATTCTCAACTAGGTTGGGAATTGGGGTTGTACTAGGCGCAGTCGGGGGATCCAGCTGGAATAAAAGTGGAGGAAGGTTCTCATCACTGCAGCTCTGGGTTTCAATGTGATGGCAAGTGTGATTGGCCTCTGGAGGAGATGAATCTGAGTATAAACAAATGTTAAAATCAAATTTAGTTGTGGGAGGTGAATAGAAGACTAATCTACTCACGCTGACAATGAATCACTGTGGATGCGGTTTCTTTAACCAAATTAGCACATAAAAAAGAGCAGTGAGGATATATTAACGAACCTGATTGTGCAGTTGACACAGAAGTGTATTGATTGACTCTTTGTTCAGCCATTCTTTCTTTCTTTCAAAAGCTTGATAAAGCTTTTGACAGTGATAAATTTCTTCTAGTCAAAAATTCTAAACCTGTCTATGTTTTGTAAAACAATAAATAACAACACAAGAGTTTGTTATATGATTTTTGATCAGTCTTAGGGACAAGAAAACTGGGTGCAGCACGTCTTTCAAATCTCAGGTTCGCTACCAGAAGGAGCTCTCGCAAAGGATCAAAACGAAGAGTGACGGGTGCAGATCGCAAGTTCTGTAGAAAGATGTGGAAAATGGATGTTGGAAATGTTGAAAAGACGAGGGTAGAATGAGGATGTTTATCGTGAGATGAGTGGAGTATAGAGGAGAAAGGGGGGGAAAGGAGGAGAACCGCGAAGATATAGCAGTAACTCTCGCCCAGCTGGGCTAAATCCGAAGAATTCACCTCTCGCTCTTCATAACAAACAGCTACATAACACGAAATAGAGGCAATAGGGTAACTTCTCGAAATTCACCGCAAGGGGAAAAGTCGCTACGAGAAAGAGGAGCAGCGACAACGCTGAAGAGTTCGAAACACAGTCCAAATTGATCCGTGTGGTGACCCGCATGAAAGCTTCTCCCAAATTCTACCTCGTAATTTTGCAATATAGGAATATCATTTTGCTTAGAGAATAAACGAGTTTATATGCCACAGCTATCTTCCATCGCTCAGGGAGTGCCATGGACCTCCTTAGGGAAATCTCGAAAGCGATAGAGGGGCATCACACCCAAGAGCCAACTTGGTGGCAGCAGTAGAGTGTGTTATTTTAATTTAGATGGAATTAGCCTTCATCCTCCAACAGTGTCAACCGAATCAACTTACAAACCTAGGACGCATAGCTCTCAAATCTGGAGCCTTGTACAAAAACTTACACATTACAAACTCATCCTCGGGACCAGGCTCGTTGACCGCTCCTCGTGGAAGTCTGGCCAACATATCGCCGAAGTAAAAGTTTCCAAGCATACATCCATAAAATATGTGCACTCTGAATGAGATATTCCCATCGCCAACGCGTTAATAAATGCTATGAGATGGTATGCTCAACGTTAGGTTGTTGTTTTGAGGCGTTCCATGCCACGTGGAAAACTAGGAGGTGCAACCTTAACTAGTCTAACCTTATTCCAACCACACCCCCCTTTCCATCATCCCCAGCTGCTTTGGCTTACTTCGCAAATAATACCGTCAGTTTTTGAAATCAACATCACTATTGCCCGTTTAAAGGGGCATATCCGCGAAATTCAGCGGTAGTAGTGCTACATTAACGTTTCTAATTGCTGCGCCGGGCAAGTTCAGCAGATGGCTTCCATTCCTGGGATGAGATGATGGAAGGCTCGTAAATTTTGTCGGTAGTAAGTTTGTGTTTTCTGCTTTACAGTCCATCCTAAGCCAGGAGGGGTATTTGGGGGAAAGAGAGCCCATGATTTGTGAAATCCAATTCACAAGTATACGACTATTTCTGCTAGGCCATGCACGAGAAGCGACTGAAATCGAATCCCGCCGCATATTATATAACTTCACGGCGTCCACGCTTCAAAATAGAGAGTTATTGACGACATCTACTCAAATCCGCTGCTTTGATCTTTTGATCCTTTTTTTTTTTTTTTTTTTTCCCTTGACTGTGAGACCCTTTGATAATAAAACCTATTTAATACATATTTGCCCACTCCAAATGATGGTATTCAACCGCCACATAAATCAACGTCTCCATTAACATAACAGATAACTAAGTACACGAGCATGTCAACATGCTCCTAGATCCGAAGGGAACATTTTCGTTTTCGTCAAAGGAAACAAAAGGTCAGGTCATCAAATCGTTATCATCGTCATAACGCAACAATTTTATGCTCCGAAAAACGGATTGCTCGTCAAAGACAAATTTCTGCATCTGCATAACGAAAGCATATTCGTAATGCAGCAAAAATGTCTACTCATCTAATCGCTTAAATACAATTCTGTCCATACGAATCGCGCAGCTGCTCACAATAGTCAATATCAATGCCATATTCTCGCTGATACTTCATGGCTTTCTCCATCTTCTCATATTCTGCGGGCACGTCTCCTAGGTCGCTAAAGTCCAGATAGTCACAGGGGGGGTCAGAAATAATTGGAAATAACTCCCATTCGTCCGCCACAATCTGCCCCTGGAGGATGTCGTTTGGATGGGTTGGCGGCATTACAGCTTGGATTTTATCCATTGTTTTGAACATTTCAAGCTTCCAGCAGTATGGGATGTCAATATACCGCTCCATAAGAAGTTCTATTGGAACTCGCGAAACTTGAACTTTGGTCGGTGTTGTCGGACCCGCGACTTCGAATGGTTCTTCGTACAAGGGAATTCCAGGGTAACAGTCGTCGTGAAGTGGGAGGCCAACAACTTCCGAATCATGCCCCTTTCTCTCTTCCCAATCCGACCCACTTTCGTGCTCTTCTTCACATCCCCTGCTATTATATATATCCGTCATTTCACTATCGTCACTCTCCGGTTGAGCATCAGTGCCCATAGTTCCATACTGCAACGCACCGGGGGGAACTATGGCCAATTGCCGCGTCTCTTGCGTTCTGGAAGTGTCATACAGCATTACGGGCACCTCCATCGTTGTCACTTGCCGAATCAATTCCTCTTGTTCTTTTGCGAAGGCATGAAAACGCTGCCTGTATGCCTCAGGAACTGGAATTCTCCCACCAGCCTCGCCCATGCCTGGATCGATTAACCCAGGCGTCAACCCGCGGGTGGAATTCAAGCTTATATCAATTCCCTTAGCTTGCATTTTCTTCTCTAGCTGCTCTGCGACAATCTTAGTCTGCTTATTGCCAGTCCCCCAGGAAAGAATGTTGAAAGCCTGACGAAACCTGACCCCTCGCTGTTGGAGCGCGTTGTTGGCTATACGAAAGTCCGGGTGCATACGATCCGTAATATCGTGAAGTTGGATCCGCCTATCAAGGCGCATCCACGCTTCAACCCGAAACTCTTCCACATTGGCTGATATTCTATCCGGAAGAATGTCAAAGACGCGCAGATCCGGTTCTGAACCCCAAGGCGATGGCTTCGTAGGCAAGTTGCTCAACGATCTTACTTGAGGGGCCGTCGGTCTAAAAGTGTATAAAATTGCGGGAAGATTGTCAACGGACCATTCTGTCTGGCCCACCATTGGATCGGTGACGTTCCGGACGTCAGAACGAGACGCTGCACTATGCTGGCGTGGTGGACGTCCTATTTCAAGCTATTAGTACTTAATGTGCATAATGGTACTCCTAGGTCGGTGATAATTACCTTTAAGCTTCGCCGCCATGTTCCTTTCTCTATTTTTATCGGTACCGTCAACCAGCTTGGGTATTCGAATCTATTTCAATTGGGCAAATGGGATCCAAAGCCCTGCTTTTCGTCCGCAATCATTAAGAGGTACAATGTATCAGGAAGTCAATAATGAAGCGTCTATCGCAAAACCTGCTTCAAGAAGCCGCTCGTATGCTTGAACGAAATGCCTGCTTTCTTTGCTCAAGCAAAAACAAAATAATTGCTTGCTAACACAGTGGAAGAATTGACTGAGCGAATTGAAGTCTTATGAATGTTAGGCCAAATGAAGGTAAGAAAAAGAGGGGATATTGCCCAACAGAGGGGATTCCAGCTAGGCCGCCTCCATCGTCAGATAAAAACTAGGAAGATGAGCCTTCTACACAGACCAGTGAAGGAGGTTTACTCCACCAATCCTAGTACACTAGTGGTAGGATGTATTCTGAATAGCTGTTGCATTGTTCGACTTTCCCCTCTGAGACCGTTGCCCGCCCCGGTGGCTCTGAATCCTAAGTTTGAATGAACCATTGAATAGTGAATATTTGCTCTCACCCGAAACTCAAAGCCCCAACCATACCGCAAACCCGGTTTAATAGATGAGCACACAGATCTGCATTTATTGACGGCACTTTTCTCGAGGTACATATACAATGACAGTGCATACACAATAGGCCTTGCTGGCCCTTTTGCAAGGTTCTGCGGATTTTCGAGATTGTGGATGCACTATCCTTTTTAGCGATGGTAGTAAACCTACATGTACATGTACCTAGACACTTAGATTATCCACTCCCCAACCAAAAGAGTATCAGAGCAGTTTGCCCTTGTCTGAACAGTTTGTAATTTTCAACTATCCGCTACTCATTATCGCAATTTCCCATACCTAAGCAACAAGCGGCCAAATTGAGTGTGAAGGAATCGTTTTCCATTACCTAGCTACCTATAGTTAATTGCCCAGGTGTGAAAATCGAAAAAAGGCGACATTCAATATCCAATTCACTATTGTGAAAATTCGGGGGCTAGATTTATTTGAAAGCCACTACTTCGAGAATGAACTAAACCAATGCAGATATTAGATCAATGAATTGTATCTCATATATATATTCTCAATGAAATGTCAAGTCTCGAGGCCAAGGTACATGTAGTTGCGTTTTTTAAAAGACGACGCCCCTTGGAGCTGGTGTTGCGATCAGAAAGGAAAAAAAGATGGTAGAAGAGAGGGAAACAGAAGATAAGGTTGTTTTACATTCTACATTCCACTTCTTTGTACTTAGTCCTTCAACTGTTTCACTCTTGTGTGAATAATCAGGATTCTGCTTCGTCATGTTCAGTTGATAATTTTATTGGGTGTGGTGAAGCATAGAGCGGAGGTTACTGTCTATCGCTTAGCGCGGCTATTGTGAATGGATCCCGCAAGTTCCGATCGGGCTAGGCGCCGGGCGATCTCTCAACACAGCGGAGTGCTAAACTATCTCTGGCCAATTGACCCGCAGTATGATCCCAGTAGAATAGACCAGGCCACTCAGCAATGCGAAACGCCGTCATACGACTCAATGCTCCATTCTAGTTGAGATTACCGTATTTATTGTTTTTATTCTGTGTCTTGTACGATCATCTCTTGAAAGCGCAATGGCAACTTTATCCGGAGAAAAGCCCACTCAGGTTTCCAAGAACAATACAGACAGGCAAGCAGAAGCTGCAATCTCGACCAAACGGAAAGCTACCGATAATTCTGCAGTTGACAGTGGCCTCCCAATCAACTTCACCTCCCGCAAGCCGCCGTGGTCATATCTCAAGCTTCAACTGTACGAAGACCCCGTTCTGTGTTTAGAAAATTGAGCTTCCAAGATACTAATCTAGCTCTAAATGTTGCACAGAATTACCCAACCAGATCTATCGGCGTCAACATCCTTCGATGCGCTTACGGCACGCACGTATCTTTCGTCCGCGCTCTCCCAATTCCTCGGTGTATCTGGCACGTCTATATCGATTGATATACTAAAGATCGAAACCATTCCCCCGGGCCTAAATACACTCTGGATTCGAGTTCCTCGCGACGACTCAGCAGCGGTGGTAGCAGCTGTTAGCTCTTGGGTTGGAGGAGGGGCTCAAACTGGCGCCAATGTGTCCTGGCGGATCCGAGCGAAAGGTGGTTTTCTGGGTGCGTTAGTGGGAGGGACGGGGAAGGAACTATTCGGACCTTGACGCTTCCAAACGGCATATTTTTCCATTGCTTTAGACGATAGTGCAAAAATGTTGTGGGCTACGGTCGTAGTTCGGAAACTGCGGGCTTCTAGATAACCGATCATCTGATCGGAATCTGCGGGAGTTAGCTCAAGCTACACTTGGCCATGGGAGTCACGATGCTACAAATATTTCGGAAGAAAATGGAGGTTGGTCGTAACGTTGTTCGATCATCGTCAATGGCCATCCGGTATTGAGGGGAGCTTAGAGCTTTCTCTTTTGGACCTCTTCCGAAATCTCAACTCTAACGTTGCAGATTCCTTCGGGGTTTAGCAACTTCGCCAAGGGTACATGGTACATGGTGCAACCAGGACATAACTTGTGGACGAGTATACATGAAGAGGGTGGTTTGGTGTTTTAGGTTGAGGGGCTGGTTGGAGAGGGAAACGGATTCAGGGGGGAACAGCGGAGAACCTTGAATCTGTAATCCAGTGGGCCGTGCGTATATTTTCTTATACATATAAGTCTTATACTCCCTAGATTGACGGCCTGCCTTTGGGTGGTTACTATCACTACACCTAAAGGCGGGTAAATCCGCACTTGAATAAAATATATAGGATTGAGATATTACGCCACATGTAGGACCACTGTGCACTATATCCTCACAACGTGGCTAAGTTGTAAAACTTTTAGCATTCTATGGTCCTCTTCAACTAACCACTTTTGCCAGTGATGACGAAGACATTGTAGAGTGGTATAATAGGATAATAGGTCTCCGACAACCTGCTAGGTCCATTGCCTTACCGTCTCTCATCAGATGGCCATTTTGTATGATTACGATGCAATGTTAATCCATACTATATAAAATACGATTTCTTTTCAGTTTCCGATTGATCAGATGTCTATCTTATTCACCTTCTCTTCGTTATTCCGGGTTTCCGGGTTTTCTTTCCTGGTGCTAACGAGTGAATAAAGTTCTGCAAGATATAGATATGTATATATTTATTAGCACTGGATATGGGCATTCTAAATATTTTGTCGTATCAGAGTAATCGTCATTATTTTGGGTCTTCCATCCTGAATTACTCAATTAATTCCGAGACGCCCAAATTTTTACATAGATCATTGTGTTAGTAGCTGCATTGCACTCCGTAGTCTTAGCTTAAGCTTCACCGTCGACTACCAGATCCAATCAACATCACCCAATGGCAAAATTAACCTTTCGACGGTTCCCATGGTTCAATCCGGAACCTTCGAAAACCCTTGAAGTGCTGAAAAATGCGTGCAGCATTCAAACATGGGCAATTGGTTTAGTGGTATAATACCCCCTTAGCATCAATTCGACAAGCGAATTAACCTGGGGGTGGTCCAGGGTTCGATTCCCTGATTGTCCATCTCTTTTTGTTTTTCATATTTATTTATTTATTTATGTTATTTAGCATCTACCAAATTCAGTAAAATTTCATGGTCACATTTTTATTTATTTTTTATTTTTTATTGTTTTCCCTATCTTCTCTTTGTTCTCCGAGAATTTTATTGTCAAATTGATCTATATGATTTTCAAAGCAGCTAGCTAGCTACCTCTGAACGGGTACGGAGGACGCTTTGGGAACTTGTGTCACAACTGCAGCCAGCGGGTTCTGGGGCCCAATGGCAAGGGCAGCAACCTTGGAAACCGGGGGAAGAAACCTGATCAACCGGAATATTCTGCGGTCCGGGAGCCCGGGGTCTGGTCGTGCTAAACCCCTTCTGGACGCTGCAATGGCCCAACCCGGAGGCAATCTCGGGATATGATTGGCTAGAGTCGCCGATGGGGCTGAGGGCAAGCAAATGCGGGGAGCGCGTGGCAACAGTGAGAGTTCGAGGCTTCGGCACACGGGGGTTCCCCCCAAGGGAAGGAGCTGGCGAGCCTCTCGCAGGCAGAGTGGGAAGCCGAGCTGCGGAGGAACTTTGGGCAACCTGACCTGTTTTCATATTAATATCTGCCAGAGCTTCCTCTTCGTCCTCCGTCCTCTTCGTCCAGTTCTTCTTCCAGCGGCGCGCATTGTCTCTTTTCATTTTTAATATCTCCTTTCTGCCTCTGTACTCTGTACCATAGCATTGATATCTCTGATATCAAGCTCTGCAGCCGTCAGATAGAGCTGCAGCGTAGACTGTGCTATTGACTGGCCAGCTAGCGAAGTGATCCATCTGGAACCTTAGCTTTCTAAACCTAGGTCTTCCTTCTACCCTTCTCATCCTTACAATGGCCTCCATTTCTCGATCAGTCGCAGGCTTGAGAGCTCTTCCACGGCTTCAATCGGTACGGTCATTTGCAACCACGCGGCACCTGCGAGCCAGTGCGGCGGCAGACAAGCCATTCTTCCCAAACGAGCCTGCTGGACCAACTATGAAAACCTCCATCCCAGGCCCTAAGAATCAACAGGTAGTTGCGGAGCTGTCTGAGGTCTTCGATACTAGAAGCATTAATATGCTGGCAAATTATGACGTCAGCGCCGGAAACTAGTAAGTTTGAGAATGCGAGCAAGCCTCGACCAGTGAAGTCAATTTTGGATGCATTATTTTAACTTGTTTTCCCACCATGTAGTATTGCTGATCTTGACGGAAATATGCTGTTGGATGTGTAAGTTCCTGGCCTTCTAACATTCTCAATTGAGATTCCATTGCAACCGCCGTCTTGAGTTCGTGGTTCTGAACCTACCTAGATATTCCCAAATCGCCTCAATTGCCGTTGGTTACAATAATCCTGCTTTGATTGCCGCTGCGAAGTCACAACAGATGGTTAGCTCCTTGGTCAATCGTCCTGCGCTAGGAAACTTCCCATCTCACGATTGGGCATCTATTCTCAAATCCGGCATCCTCACCGTCGCACCAAAAGGCCTCGACCAGGTGTTCACCGCCACCGCTGGGTCAGATGCAAACGAAACCGCGTACAAGGCTGCCTTTATGTACCACCAGCAGTTTGTACGTGGTGGCCCTGAGGTTGAATTCACCGAGGCAGAGATCGAGTCCGCTATGTTGAACAAGGCTCCTGGTTCCCCGCCCCTGTCTATTATGTCCTTCAAAACTGGTTTCCATGGCCGTCTCTTTGGTACCCTTTCCACCACGAGAAGCAAGCCGATCCACAAACTGGATATTCCTGCATTCGACTGGCCTCAAGCTCCATTCCCGCTTCTGAAATACCCTCTAGAGGAATTTGCTGCAGAAAATGCCGCGGAAGAGAAACGATGCTTGGAGGAAGCTGAGCGTATCATCAAGGAATACCATAACCCAGTTGCTGCTATTGTGGTCGAGCCTATTCAATCCGAAGGTGGAGACAACCATGCATCCCCAGCATTCTTCCAGGGCCTGCGCGAAATAACCAAGCGACACGACGTCCTCATGATCGTTGACGAGGTGCAAACCGGCGTTGGAGCCACCGGAAAATTCTGGGCCCATGACCACTGGAACCTCCAAACTCCACCGGATATCGTCACTTTCTCCAAGAAGGCACAGGCAGCTGGTTACTTCTATGGAAACCCCCTCCTTCGCCCCAACAAGCCATACCGTCAATTCAACACGTGGATGGGTGACCCAGCTCGTGCGCTTATCTTCCGCGCAATCATCCAGGAGATCGAGCGCTTGGATTTGGTCAACCACACTGCTGCCACGGGTGGCTATTTGTATGCCGGCCTCGAGCGCCTAGCGAAGCAATACCCCAACGAGTTCCAGAATTTGAGAGGAAAGGGCCAGGGCACTTTTATTGCCTGGGATAGCCCACGGCGTGACGCTGTCCTGGCGAAGGGGAAGAGCGTTGGGATCAACATTGGCGGATGTGGTGAGCGGGCTGTGCGACTTCGCCCAATGTTGATCTTCCAGAAGCATCATGGTAAGATATTTATACCCTAGTCTTCGTGTGTTGGTAACAGGAACAAAGCTAACATATACCGTGTGTGTGAAATAGCTGATATCCTTCTCGAGTCGCTGGAGAAGATCGTGAAGTCTTGAAGTAATTAGTGTAGGATTTCATTTTTATTTCTTGGTTTAGTACAACGGTAATTTTCTTGGACATGGTTACCTCATTTTAGTTTTTAGACGCATTGGGCCTTGGATGTTGTTTTCCCCTATTGGCGATTAATTTTATCTTTCCTTTTTCCCTTCCGCGTTTGTTCTGTGTGTCTGGTTGTTAGATATCTCAACGCCGCACCAGGAGGCCTTATTGGATGCCTTAATTTTAATTTTGTTTATTTGATGATTTCTGAAACCTATAATTAATTTTCTGGAGTTAAACGTGTGGTCCAAATATTGTGTTCTGTGACACCAAATCCAGTCATGTCGAATCCGCGGTAAGAATCGAAATTCGGGAGATGCTGTATTCGTTTCAAAAAGTTCGCCCGTCATACTCAAAACTAAACCAACGCCGTCTATTAAAGAAACAAAAAAGAAAACAATCAAGGTATATCTTCCAAGGGCCGTAAACTCCAGTCTGAAGAAGACCACCACTTTTTAAATAAATTCCGTCCTACCGTATCAAAATATCCAGACTCCCTCGACGAGAAAGCAAAAAGAGAACAAAAAGGTTCCATCAACCCTCCTCATCAACAGAGCTTCCGTCTCTCCTATATGTGACAGAAAGAGTTAATTAGCACACCCGAGAAAGGGAAAAACGCGCAGGCCGATGGGGATGGGTGGGTAGGGCAGAAAGGAAATGAACACATACGGAACGTATCGGACCCCCGAGTCTTCAAGATCACCCAGGACACCAGGTGGTAACTACACGCAGAAGAGAAGAAACGTCAGCCGATATCCTTCACCAAATTATCGAAGCCAGAGCAGAAAAAACAGCATTCATCCCCTTATATTTAAGTCCCTTTGACCGTGATGTGAATGGTGATGTGATTGGCGTCTCTACTCACCGTTCCCGTAACCTTAACCGCATACGTGCCTGACACATATCCCTCCAACCTCTGCCAGCGCGCCACCCACGACGCACGTTGGTCTGCCAGTGTTATCAGCCCCTCGAACACCTGCGATGTGCATTGTTGGATCTTTTCGCCGTTGCCAGCCAAGCCGAGGATGTGGTCGCAGTTGGGGCAGCCTTCGCGCATGAATTTCTAATAGCGTGGCAAAATTTGTTAGTGACTGCTATTAGAGAAAACGAGAGCGGGCAGAGAAGAGTGTGTGTGTATGGACGTACGCTGTGTACCTGCACTATGGAGCAGACCATGCAGGCGCGGAGGGATCGCTGTTGACCCGTGGGGACGTAGAAGGAAGACATGGCGCTCGCTCCTCCTATTCCTCTTGCTCTGCTTTATTTTTCCGCTCCGTTTTATGACGATATGTCGGATAGACTGTTCCACTGTTCCAACGTGTTGTTCCCATGTCTGCCCGAACTGACTCTGGAATGGTGTCCGGGATGAAAGTATGCCGCTGTGCTGACATAAGCGATCTGACGCACGGGCCAGGAACCAAAAACGGTCACTATTCCCAAAAAGGCCTAGTTGGCATGTGTTCTTGGCGCCGGAAAAAGGCAGGGAACTCTTTTCTTTTTCTCCAAATTCCATCGCTTTCCAATTTGCGGGACTAGCCAGGGAATCTGTGGAATCGTTTTCCAGACGTTCGTTCAACATACATACAACATACACACATGCGCCTGCACTGCAATCTCAGAATATAACTGCGCTACAGACCCTATCTGGAGTTAGAGAAACAGAAGTCGCAAAAGATAATCGCATTCGGCTTGTTAAATAACTACCCCACTTGTCGCGTGTTTCCTTCGAAGAGGTAACAAAAATACGAAATTAAAGGCGAGAGGAGCTCCCACCTCAGATTTAAGTGATAAGATCAAGAAGGAGAGGGTATATAGAGGGAGAAGGGAAAAAAGACGAGTTTTTACGGTTATAGTTCCCGCTGCTGGACCTACTCTCTCGTCTCGGCTCTGATGGCGACCACGGACAAGGAGGCTGCTACGGCCCTGAAACTACAAGGCAATAAAGCGTTCGCAAGCCATGATTGGATTCAGGCATTAGATTTTTACTCCCAGGCGATTGAGCAATATGATCAGGACCCTTCGTTCTTTTGTAACCGCGCGCAGGTATGTTTCCGTTTTTCCCTTTTCGGGTGACCTCGCATGCCGTTGCGGCGCCTTATCTTGCCTAATCCGAGTTTTACGGGAGGAGGAGAGTGCTCAGAAAGTCAAGGATACGTAGGGAAAACCTGCGACTAACTGGGTAAAATTTG